TCCTCTTTTTTTTCTACCAGTGATTAGTGGTATGGCAGAGGGGAACTGAGGAGGTGGATGTATGTTGGCTAGTAAACGGAAGACATGGTTATAGGATGAATTTGAAAGGGCTGATCTAGTAGGAGAACTTGAAGTAAAGGTAGTGACCACTGAATCAGCAGAGGAATAAAAGCCAGTTGGAGAAAAAGGCACAATAAGAGCAGCAGGGTCAAAGAAATTGATGGATTGAGGGCTTAAAAAGAGCTGAAAGATGAAGTGGTTAGTGATTTGTGGAGGAGTGATTTATGTGCACACAGAGCAAGGGTCAGCGTATTAGACTTAGTGTCTAAGAAACAGAAATAAAACCAGGACTTAGTAAAAACTCACTAGAGGCCTGCTAAAGCCGAGACAGTAGCTGATGCTTTGACATGAAAGAAGTGACGAGGATGAAGAGACAGTGAGAGAGAAAACAGGCAGGAAGTTTCACCTTGAATCAGCAAAGGCTCGATGGCTTAGCTGAAGAACCACAGCAGATTTCAGTAATACGGTTAAGGTTGTAATCACATTTGCAGCCAAGATGTAAAACATTTCCCTGTATCCCTACTCTGAAATGTGCCCCTGCAATCAAAGGGCAATGTCCTTTCTGAGCTCCTAAGCAGCGGGCTTACAGTGCTTTGGCACTGGATCCTCATCACTCACAGCAGCGTGGCAGTGAAACATCATTGAAATAAGTTGTGTTACATCCACTTCTGTTTTGCAGAAATAAAGAGAGGATCATTTAAATAAATGCAAAAAAAAAAAAGCATAATGCTGTCTGTTGTAAAACTCCCCATTTCCTCATTGCCATAATAAAATGATTGCCTAGTTCTATGCAGCTGTGCCAATAATGTTAAATAATATACCCATTAAGTAAGGTTTTTTCTGATAGAACAGGTAGGAACTGGATGTATTGACAAATGCCTAAGGACATATTGGAACTGTAGTTGTAAAAACACCACTTTTGTACCAAAGACTGTGTACCAAATACCACAGGATTTTGCAATGAGAAAAAATGTAATCCCCTATTAAAGTAAATAATGACAAATCTTTGAGTAATTATATCACAGGATTTTAAATGACAGCTGCTGAATATATTGTTGTTGGTATTTACATACAGCACTTGGATGTTAGCATAAAGATGAAACTAATCTTTTTTTCCTTACTGTGGAAGGCATGCTGCACTGGTTCTGCTATTCCTTAAAATAAGTTACTATATCCAGCAACCGACATGCACTTTTTAACTGAAGCAAAATTGAATGAAAGGCTGTGGTGTGAGTGGTTTAGTGGGTGAGGACATACAGGCTTCAGTTTTAAGAATCCAGTTAACTCTAAACAGAAGTCTCAGAATGAACATTTATTTTGCAGAAATAATATGCATCATAAAACTTTCATACAGATTTCGGTAAGACTCACAATAATTGACCCTGTTGCTTAAAATGGATAAACTTGAGTGTTGAATGCAAATATTTTCTCCTTCATTAATACAGATTGAATTTTAGCTACCAAAGGTTTTGTAAAGTATATCCACTGGGAAATAATTGAAACATATTCAGCTGGTAAATTTTTGTGATCTAAAGAACTCAGATATACCAAATTGCATTGTAATCAACTCCTGTTCGAATTTATTACATGTAAATAAAATTAATACATATGTAAAGAAAGTATAAGCTGTTTTTCCAATTATTAAACCAAAAGAGCTCAAAGAATAACAGTAACTGAACTTTACAGTTCTCTTAATATTAGCCACTCCCTTTTGCATCATGAGAGATGCAATAAGATCACATACCTATAACCTGGATAGGAACCAATTGCCTGTTTTGTTGTAATGCAAGCACTTTTATGTATGTGAAGTATTTTAAAATATTAAACTGAATGTAAAATATTTTTTTCTTGAAAAACAGTGTAATGTTTGTTGATGTATGACACTTGGTGTCTTCTGATACTTCAAATTATGGCCCGAAGTCTCATTCCTTCAGAAATGCTAAACATAATTAATCCCAGTAATTAAACTGAAAATGTCTGCTTAATAAAATTAACGGCTTTAGCCAGACCTACATGAAAATTTATGTAATTTTTCCATTTGAATAGCAGTGGTTTAACTTAGAAGTAATTAACTACATATTAGAGACCTACTCTTTCGATTTTCTTTGAATCTAGATTGTTCAAAGAAGTTATACCACATTCTAATGACTGATAACAGAGCTCTACCACAACTAAGAAGTGCCTAAATAGTTAATATTATGCTGAATGTGAACAGAAATTGGATTCTAAATTAAAGACCTTTATATGGTTGACAGTTATATTTCACATTTTCATAAGTCTACCTAAAAAGTTTTCTCTCCCTAATGCTGTGCAGAAATCTGTGAGCACAGAAATGACCTTTTATTCTGCTGAAATATAGTTATTGAGCAGTCATTTAGTTGAAAATTATCAGATTTAATAATACTGCCTGATTCTCAGCTGCTGTTGATTGGTCTAGAAGAACAAGATGAAAAACTTGTAAGTGAAATCTAGCTGTCAGAAAGCGGAAAAAAAATGGACTCCATACAAGGAAAATATGTGTAATGTAGTCAGCTTAACTGATCAATTTAAATATTTAAATGTGCGGCAGATTTATATCCTGTACCTAAAAATATATCCAAACTACACTCAGAGTCAAGCCATTTCTCAGACTGCATGCTTTCATGGGCTCTATTCCTCTACTGTACTAATAACTGCGGTGTTAATTATCAAGTAAAGGCATGATAATATGAAACTCTCGTTCAAAACCTATACCCTGCGGAAGTACTCTTTTGGTCCCAAAGCAGTACCGGCATTCGTGTGGCTTAAGTATTTTGAATCACAGGCAGAACACTGAAAAATGTAACAGCGAAATGATCAAATGACTGAATTCAGAGCTGACAGAAAGCATGGAGAAAACAGAAACAAATTTCATTTGGCCTCTTCTGCCTATTGTTAGATTACTTGACTTAAATAATGTTTATTTCAGTTGCTTACTTTTATTTGGCTCCTTTTAGAGAAGTGAAATGGCATGCCCAGCAAATTTTGGGTATAGTCAGAAAATTACATGTCTGCACGCAGAATTGCCTGTCAGCCTATCCAAATTGGCCCACTGTTTTTTTTTTTCAGGAAAGGGGCTTTGCTGGTGCAGAGAGTGCTCTTTCTGAAAATCTCAAAGTTACAACAAAATAGACATTATTTTAAATTTTATATTTTCACTGAGATTTCTTTAATAAACATAGTTCTCATGATCAAAAGTATTCATTCATTGTGGAGCAAGTAATAAATCCCTAACTACTGATTTACTCACCTATTCCCACAAGAAAGCCTGCAGGAAGAATAAAGATATCACAGGAAACTTTTTCTGCTAAGAATATTCTGGCTTTTTGCCACTACAAGAGGCCAAGGCATTATTTTGGGACAGAATTTGAATTCTGCTGGACAGGACATGGGCTTACCAGAGCTAGGTGACAGGAAAGGCTTCATGTCTTTATAGGAGGTTTGAAGAAAGAGAGGAAAAGAGATGATGGAGTGGAGGAAGAAATTATGTACTTTCCTCTTAGTCTTAACTCACATAAATTTTTGTTCTGCTGGCAGAACCTCACCCTCTCCTAGCGGGGGAGAAAATAATGACGGAAGCAAAACAGTATCATCCTGTACGATGACATACGGATAGACAGAGAAGTGATATGTATTCCTGGGTTGTAGGCCTTTGGCAATCTATGGTGGTGTGCCTGTGACATTTTGTAACAAGTGTAACAATGTCTATTATACAGTATTTATTCTCTATCAAAAATATTTTATCTGTACTTCACACATTTACTTACTTCAATTGCTAGTCTCAGATACACAACTAACCCAGATGAGGACTCTAAAAGAACCAAAGTCTCATTTTAGACAACATACAGATTACTTAAAAATCTGAAACTAACACCTTTAAAAAGATATGAAATAAAATAAGTGTATAGGCCAAGGTATTCAGTAGCATTTATGAATAAATTTTTACTGATTTTTAAGATGGGACCTCATCCATCCAATACTCTTAAAAATGATACTGCTAGAAGCCTAAACACTTAGGTGCTTTGAAAACAGGAGTCACCTAAGTCCAATAACCAATTTTTTAGATATCATTCTGAGTATTTTGCTATTACAAGACCATTGAAAGCTTCAGTTATTTGCATGGCTTCAATCCTAATGTGATTATAAAGAAAATGGACTTTTCTGCAAATATTAGAAGCTTAAAATTGAAAATCTTAAATGTTAATTAATGATTTTTTTTAATTATAAATACAACTTTATATAATTTTTAAAAATAATTACAAGGTGTCTCTAGCATTCAGAAAGTATGGCTTTGTAACTGTTGCTGTTATATTATGGTAACAGCATTCTGTGTGAGGCAGCTGAAACATTTGTTATTGTGCGGCTTATAAGTGTTTCTTGCCTTCTATTAAATCTCCTCCTCGGTAAATAAACAAAATGCTAAACAAGTCAGTCGAATGCCTTAAAGCAGAGATTCTGAATCTTTTTCTTCCACATCTTTTACAACGTGTTTTTAATTTCCTCCTGGATGGAGGGCATTATAACTTTTGGAGTGAGGAGACAAGGCACACACGTCACTGGGACCGATGAGGGGACACGGGGGAGGTTCAGCGGGGAGGTACTGGTCAAGGTGTGGAGAGGACTATCGGTACAAAGCAGCACAGAGCTGGGCAACGGGGGCCATGGCAGGAGCTTCAGCTGAGCATGTGGGACTCAGTAGGATAAAAAGTACAGCTCACAAAATTCAAGGATCCCCTTCAGTCTCTGCCGCACCATTTCCAACCCCAAACTAATACTGAGTTGTCCCTCTTCTGCTCTCCTGCTGCTGTGTCACCTCCAGGGTACGATCTACAACCCTCGAGGAAGATGATCAGGGCCTCTTGCTTTGAGTATCTCCGTCTCAGCGAGTGAAAAAAGAAACCTCACTGAACACAAAATCTTACCTCAACAATATCCGAATTCGTTCGACTCTCATGCGGCTCATTGTACTCGGTATATTTCAGCAACACTTTGTCCATGTCAGTGCTGGCATACTGGAACAGTTTGTTGGTGCTGTTGAAGATGATCAGAGCAATCTCGCAGTCACACAGAACACTCAGCTCATAAGCCTTCTTCATTAACCCAAATTTCCTCTTCGTAAATGTCACCTGGAAAAAAAAACCAGAAAAAAGGTCCATCAAAAATTCACATGCTGTTGTAGTCCTTTTTTTCGGTAATCAAATATGTGACTGCTGCAGTCTTTGAATTCAACACATTCAGAAGGCAAATAAATAAATATAAATATAGTTCCAAAATAGAATATAAGTATGTGTGTGTGTTATGTAAGTGAGGAAATATACATAATTCTCACTGCACAAAACCTGGGATACAGGTAAATAGCATGGAACATTTTCATGAAGTGCTGATAGTTCCTCTTTCTCTGTAACTTTCTAATTCATATACTCTCCTTACTGCATACGTCTTTCCCATCAATATTTTAAAACTGCACCTCAGATTTGCAGCTGTAAATGCTTTGAACACATGGAGTCCATTCTTATTTGTGATAGTAATTGACTTCGATTCCACATCCTGCAACTCCTGCTAGATTTTTAGTGGAAGAAATTAATACAGAATTTAAGTTGTGTGAAACAGATACATTGTTTGTATAAGAACACTCACAATTGTTTTGAAGAAATACCTAGTGTTAAAATTGCAAACACTTGTGAGAAATGAGAAATATAAGGCATGAATGAAGAATGAAGAACAAACAGTAGTTGGCTAGCAACAAATATCACCCTTGAAACAAGGTCTTTTCTAAACACAGATGTAGCATACTTTATTTCATTTCAAATTCAGTGCTTGGAAATATGAACCGGCATTTTTAGTAAAATGGACTTTGGGTCATATACACAAAAAAAGGGGATGTGCTTATAAGTTCTCAGTAGGCCAGTGAATGCCCTGACATCATGGAAAACCTAGGTGGTATGAGAAATATCGCTACTCTGTACAAAAACGTGATTTTCCACAGGGACTGTTTTGACAATGAAAAACCTGCACATCAAATTATTTTTTTCCCTTTTCTTTTCTGCAGTAGCTTACACGTTTCAGTAAGACATGTGACTGAGAATACGAAACTTTTTTCTCCTTCTTCTGTTTCTTCACATATGCAATTTCCTTTAAGTATATACCACTGTGATTTATTTTTTACTTTTTTCTTTCCC